ATAAATGCGATAAATAACAAGAATACGTTTCTAAAAATGTGTATGGTCATCTATTTTTTCCACCAGCAAGACTAATCATTTCTGTGATGGCTAAAATAATTAATAATCCCAATAATAAGATAAGGAGCCAATAGAATAAAAATCTGGAGATAGATGATTCCAGCACACAAATAAATATTCTGACACGTATACTTAAGCAAGCCCAAAATCTATAAATAATCAGAATACTCCTTTATAAACACATGCTTTTCTTATCACATTGAGACCATCTCTGCCTTCCTCTATTTTCCCAAATAGCAGCAATCTCAACGGGAGGAAACTTACCCATACGCATCGACAATTTCCTGGAATGCAGAAGTAAATTTGTTTGTGCGAAAATAAGTTGGCGGCGACTCTTTGGTCCCCAGGACCTGGAAAATGGACCCAACTTGAGAGTTGGAGTCAATCGCAGCATGCTGCAAAGCATCCTGAATCTGCACATGCAAGATCCGATCTACTTTAGCGATCCGACATAATACATCACCAGTACAATCACTATTACCCAAGATACAAACCGACCATTGGATGTAAATGAAATGCAAGGTACAACTCACTTCTTTTGCTGCAAAGACTGGACTCCATCCCTCGGCCACAAGACACTTCTTTGTCACATCGAGACTAAGCATGTTCAAAGTGTGATATATGGCTTTTTCTTTGCGGACCTGCAACACGTCAAAATAAATGACTATTGGCCTCATGTGGCATGAAGACAATAATGGGTTTAAACTGACCAATGAGCAGGAAAAGAAACAGAGACAAATGAGATTACCTTGAGACTCCATTTCTCAAACTTATCTCCAATCGTCTCTAACAGATTGTTCCGATGACCCAGCCCGACATCAATGGTGGTTTTAAGCTCCACCAATCTACTTGAAACCTGAAACAGTACGAGAAAATACCAAAAACAGTTAATTGGTTTATAATTTTTCCGCATCACCATTGTAAGGAACCATGACAGGACAGCACTTTCCATGCCTGTACGCTAAAAGCGTTTGGACAGTACATAGCTTTTGTAAGCTAATACGGACTAGGATGGAATGGGATAAACCTATTTTTCCAAAAAATCTAACCATCAGCTTCTTATGCAAGTACCCTTGTATTGGAGATCTAAGACTACATCAATTATTGCCCATAGACACAACTTCTGCCAATGGGGAATCTTAAGGGCAAATATCAATCCGTTCACCATGAGTTAGGAATTCCAAAACATGAGGCCCTTCACCACCTTTCAAGTCAGCAAAATGAAAGAGGGATACCTCATGTTTCTTCTGACATCCTCAAAGAAAGGGGCAAGAAATTCCTCGAACCCATGAACATCTACTTGAAGATATCTTCCAACTATTCACCCAGTTATACCTAAGTTTTCCAACCTAGGTAACATTTCGTATGAGCAAGCCAATAATGAAATTCCAAATCACTACAAAAGGAATAATAGACAGTCTATGCATCACTTAGTAGTATGCATTGTGCGAAAAGAATGTGCAAATAATCTATCAAAATCAACCATTAACAATATTTGTTAAGAAAGAAGAACATCCTTGATAGATAAAGAATCAGTTAGTTATTACTTTTTGAAAGCAGTTCCACATGATTATCACCTGAACTCAAGCCCAATAAAAGCTAAATAATAGTTGAGGAGAATAATATGGCACTGCAGCATCAGCATGTAGTCTACTCGACAGAAAGAAAGCAGGACATCTAACCCATACAATGCATACATATCCGCAATAAACATTTATCAGATAGATAATGCATACCTGGGTCATCATTTGAGCTTGCTTGCCAAGGTCCTCACTGAAAGGGTAGCGGTTTGCCCCAAAAGCTTCACATATTTTAAGGATCTTGCTTTTCGCTCTTTCCCCAGAAAAGAAGACAACAAATACATTTTTCTCAGTCTGCAGAATTTTAGTTAAAAAGTTAGTTTTCCAATAAAGCCAAGAGAAAAGGAAAATGGAAAAGATCATGATTCCGTGTTGCCTAAATTCTCAACTGAATAAATCCGAGAAAATTGGATGTTAAAGTGTTAAACTATATTTATATAATGCATTAAATATTATCATCACATATCTAGAAATCAGAATCAGAATTCACATTTCTGAAAGTTTCTAAGCATAAGATAAAACAAAACTTTCATGATGAAAGAAAAAACTGAACTCGAGCATTGTTGTGAGTAATTGGTTTCTATCTCTAAAAGAAAATAAAAGCGGAGCAGAAGCACCTCACCTTTTCTCCTGAGACGGGATCAACGACAGGCTCCTCGGCAACAGACTGCCGCATAAAGATGTTACCCCTAGTTGCACGAAATAGGATCCTCTCAAAGGCCATTGACTTTTCACGAGGCACAAGGCCAGTGAGAAATCCAAGCTTTACTTGCTTTGACGAATCAATCGACTTCTCCTATCAAATAGGAGGAAAGTTGTAAGTTTATAGCACACTAAACAAGATGATACAAAACTTTTTAGTATGCAAACAGTTCAGTGATCGTACTTCCTGCAGTAAAGGAGCCTCCAGGGGGTCTTCACCTGCCTGATGTGATCCCATCTCTTGGTGATGAGCTGCAGCAATTTGAAGTGCAGAAGAAAAAAATTCACCAGCCTGAAAAGAAAAACATTTAAGTAAAAATAGCACAAGATGCACATTCGATCGTAACAGAAAATGCCCGCATTTGCCCCATCAGAAGCCCCATTTACTATGAAATTCACTTCATCGTAAGTGTGCTATCAAGAGTTACTAAGTAAAAGAACATGAGATAGCAACAAAGTAACTGAACAGTTAACACAAGATGATTCCTTTTTCTGCAAAAAATATGATCCTGTTTCTGTGGAAAGATATAGCATCTTCTAGACTGTGGGACAAAATGAAAATATATACCTTTTGAAGGACCAGCTTGTACTCCACAAGTTCATTATAAGAACGCTGCAGTTTGTCATTATTTGCATTGATTTCAACCAGTTCACCCTCTAAGTCTCCTAGTTTCACCTGAACAACCAAAGAGAAAGAGAAGAAATATGAAAAATCGAAAACATGGTGTGCCAACATCAAAAGCATAACAGCATGGTGAAGCCAAACATCAACAGTTTACCTCTAGATCATCAAAGTCAAGATCATCTCCTTTCTCCAGTATTACTTTGGGAGAGACTCCTCCCTTTGACATTTGCTCCTTGAAGAACCGTATCTTTCGCGCCATCTCCCCACATCTTTTTAACTTCATGTCATTAACACAGAAAGGAAGTGTCATTGTTGTATGATATACTTTCTCTAAAAGGGATGATGTAGCATAATCATTTCTCAATTTCGCTTACCTGAGCCGCATAAGTACGCTGAAACGGGCTGGTATCTGAGTTGAGCTGAAATCAACATCCCAACAGACGAATAAGAACAGGAATTCACGTAGTACTACGAATAAAATTTACAATAAATTACGCTCACAATCGCCAAGAATAGAGAACCTAAGAAGCGATTATGATCAATGCGCTGCGGTGGTAAACCCTCGGAAAAAAAAACCAAATTCGAAAACCCCAACCATGTTAATCCGTTCCAAACGAGAATCAAATAAAGAAAAATTCAAAGCAAACCAAGAAAAAGAATAAGGAGATCAAGATGCGTCGATTGATTGTAACCTACGGTTCCACATTCGAAGTCCGGTCACCATAAATCCCGTCAATCGCAATCGAAGACAGAGAAATTCACACACAACATTTCGACAGAGATCCATGGAAATTAACATCGGCAACATTGCAAGCAGACACGCCTAAACACATTAAGTAGAAAAACAGAGGACAATGAGAGATAAGAGTACGGACGTCTTTGAACTGGACGAGACCAAGATCACCGAGGTAAGAGACGGTGAGATGGGCAGATTCCATGGGAATAATGAGCTGAACAAGTTGCATCGGCTCCGACCGCATCAGATCCATCGGCGGACAGCAACCACCACCGCGAATCTCCCCCATCCCTGCGTCTCCTTCTTCGCCGGACGTCGAATTCGAAACAGGTGAGAATACCGATCTCGAGAAGGAGATCGATCTCGCAATTGGGATCGCCTCAGTCGAACAGGCAAGAAAGACGCCGATAATGTCAGAGGGGGAGAGAGAGAGAGAGTAAACCTGTCTGCGTCGTGGTCACCTGTAGCTCACTTCGGACCACGTATATTAAGGCCGGGTCGATACATCTGGTGGCCCTTCTAATGGATCCGTTTGATCAATCATTTTGTCATTACAGATTAATAGAAAATAACATTTACATCCTCATTCAAGAATTTTTTTTTTTTTTGGCATTTGAGATTCACATCTATTAAGGATAAGTGTGGATACATTTATATTATTCATTTATTAAATGATTGTTCAAACAAAAAAGGTATTATATCTCAATTAGAATAATAAGAAGGAAAAAAAAGGTTATCCCCGTCATTGGGAAGGTGGAAGAATTGTAATCATTTTTATCACACAAACGGTTAGCATTTTTATTGGGGAAAAATAGATAGTACTTTTTATGGATTTATAACAAATGGGGTTTGGAGGAATATGCACCCATGAAGACAAAAAAACGTTTGGATAAAAAAAAAAGCCTATAATTGCAAAACACACATGCATATACACACGTACCAATGATAAACACTGCGTGTCATTTTCCCTCAGACCGCACAAACTACATGTCGTTTTTCTGTCGGGTAAAAACTGAAGCTACAAGAAATTTACCGTGCGTGAGAAAAAACAGCAAGGCGTGCAGGGAAAAGCGGGACGCAAGTCTTACACGAGCGTTTTGCCATTGATATATATGTAATTTGAACGATGAACGCAAAAGAACAGAGGAATTTCCGGCCTAACAGAAACGTCCCGAACTGTAAAGATAAAAGTACAAGCGAGCCAAACAGAGAAAAATCCGAATTTTTTATGGAAACAAAAAAGTAACTAGACACAAGAAGTAAAGAAAAAATCAAAGTATAGATATACCCGGGAAGAGCTTATTACATAAGAAACAACTATAAGATATAACTTGCAACAGAGATCGGGTGAATCTGATCACGGTAGACAGCACCAAACAGGTTTGATATTTCACCATACGAAGAAAGAACAACACTTCTCTTTACTTACCTTGCCACTGCAGAGAGGATTTTTTTTTTGTTTTTTTGGGGGCAACAATGTTTTGGACAGATCACCGGACTTGAGAAGGGGAGCATACCAAACCAGAAGCATCAGCCCCGACGACTGCAAGATCACACACTGTACAGAGCTTCCCGTCCTGGCTTGGCACGAACCGAGCCGTGCAGTACGGACACGACACGTCCTTCTGTCCCCTGTAGATCGGCACATATGTGGCTCCGCATATCACGAAAGGGTTTCTGAAATCGTAGTTCAACTGGGTCGCATCCGTCATGTTGCGTTCCGCCGCCTGCACGACTTGCCTCGCCATCTTGGCCTGGCTCTCCACTGTCGGGTTTGTCTCTAGTAACCTCCTCGCGAAAGTCGAAGCTGTAGCCAGGTTCTTGGCCTTGTAGGAGACACTCATTGCGCTGAGAAGGGCGAGCCTTAGGTGAGGGGTTTGTAGGTTGCAGTGTGTGAAATAGGCCGCCAGCTCCTGTTGCCGTATTGGGTCATCTCTCATCTCCCTCCTCTTGAGTTCCATTTGCAGACCAAGAACGTATTCCTTAACGATAATGATAAGTTCCTTGACCTCATCAACTTCTCTCCTTGATTCGACTACTACGAGTGGGATGGTGTGGAGGATGGATAGGAAAACACGAAGAGCCTCGGTGAACTTTCCTGCAGTGGTAGATTTGTAACCGGCCTTGAGCTTCTCTTCAAGCTGAGAGAAACTGTAAACAAGGGCTGGTGGGCCACGGACATTGGGACTAGCAGACTCATTCCACCCACGCTCGATGGCAAGGGAAACCACTGGAGACGAAGAAAAGGCACGCAGATAGCTGTGGCTGCCCGAGAAAAGATCGAGAAACATGGATTTCAAGGGCATAAAATTCTTTATGCCGAGCTGTCTGTTCAGCAACCGCATTGCGGTATCAAAGCTCCCAGCTGCCGCATGCTCAGCGGCAAGAGATGATTTCTGGGTCCATATTTGACTTACGGGCATGCCTGGAGTCGGTGCCACAAAGACTGCACAACGTGCATTAGCAGATAACTTCGGTATTTCAAGCTCTGGTGGGAGTTCAAGGTCTTCAAGTTCCCATCCACCTTCCTCCTCGTTCTCTCCCTCAGCTTCTGCATCATCCATAATTGCCTCCACATCCCCATTCTGTAATCCGTCAACATCATCCACATCAAGCTCCTCGCCCCAATCTCCTTCACCGTCTTCTTCTTCATCAACAGCCCCTCTGACACCACTTTCTAGCCCTCCTTCAAATATTCCTTTCATGACTCTCAGAAGAGGCCAATCACCATCACCCAAGACAGGGAGAGGTGGAATTAGAAGTGACGGAGTTTTACCTTTGGGCAGAGAGGGAATGTTGTCTCCCAACTCAGCTGCCAGACGCTCAGCAATGTCATGCAAACCATGAACAGAGGCTGTGATATAAGCAAGAGGCAAATGCCCAGCACCCTCCAGGATCTTAACACGCTCTCTAACATCTCCAAGGTAGAGGGCATCGTGAAATTGGCCCATCACGTCATTTTTCACTTCAGCAATCTTCATCATTTTGGACAGCTTTTCCATATTGCCAGTGATGAGATAAAGGAAAGATAACCTCTCAAAGTTCTTGGTCCGCTGGTAGGCAAACTCCACAATTTTAGCATTACCTTGGCGCAGAGCCTCCACCCCAAGTCGATACCAGTGATCTTTCTCATCGATCTCTTTGGCTGCTTCAACAGCTATACTGATGTTACCACTTTCCAAAGCCAGGTTGAACCTGGTCCTTTCATCTTTAACAAAGTGAAGGGCAACTTCAGGGAATCCTTTCTGCTGCAGATAAGCAATCATAGCCTGCCCACAAAGTTGGGAATTCCTAATCATGCTCATGACATGATCATACCTCTTCCTCAACAGGGAAAGCTTGAAAATGTATTCTGTTGCATCAATGGCAATAACCCTGTTTTTCCCATCCCGATCCAAGCAGAAGATGTTATTCCCAGAAACCTTTGTGATATAGATAGGAACATCTAGAGTTCGGATTATTCCACTATCTCCATTAGGGAGACAATATTTGATATGGTTCAAAGTTGTGTAGATAAAGACACCGTTGTCATCCCAAGCTCCACTCTTCACACGTATTGTTTCATGAAGGGTGCAGTGGTGGACAAGCTTCTTGCTGGCGATGATGATAGTATGCTTGCTTAGTAAAGCGACAGTCTCCATGTCATTTGACCAAACAACGTATCTGACAAATGAGGCCTGAAGTTCACCGAGAACCAGTCTTTGTTGAAGATCAAATATAACAACCCTATCGTCAGATCTGCAAAGCAAATTTCCTGTCCCAGCATAAAATATAGCATCAGTGGGGATCGGTAGGGAACTCTTCTTTACCATCTCGTTCTTGAGATTCTTGACCAGCACTTGGTTCGTGCTTTTCTCAAGAACAGCAAACCGGTTTCGAGCTATAAAGACAGCAGCACCTCCGGGCCCCCTTTTTGCCTCCTGAACGAAGTCACTCCTGCCGACGCTATCTTTTGGTACGATGTACAACTCATAAGAACCGCCATCCACATCTGAGCATACAAGAACTGCATTTTCTGTCGGACTGTAAGATAAGGTCCTAGGACTTTGGTTCAGGCTTGGAGTACCAGGACGGCGTACAGGGATGACTTGTGAGTCTCTTTGCGTCGAAAACTCATAGTACCTAAGAAATCTATCTTTGGCATAGAACAAAAAATCACCACTCACAGAAAATGCAGGGCGTTCCCTCTCAAGTTTAAAGACAATCATACCGTTGTCATGTCCCGCGGCCAATAAATTCATCTCTGGATGAACCGCAAGAATCCAGAACCTGTCGTGTTCACGGCGGAAAGTTTGGAGTCCAGTTCGCTTGGTAGCATCCCAGACACGAATGCTTTTATCCTCGGAGTTAGATACAATAATGTCTTGTTTTGCATGGAACATGACGCATGACACATTATTCATATGACCTCGCAGTGTGTCCACCTCCCAGGCCTTAGTTTCTGCAATAATATTGAAGAACTGACATAAATTTCTCGGCCAACTAATACATGTGTACTCCTAGAGTAGAGGGATATATTTACATTTCAGTTGTTCTTCCATGACTGAATAAAACTACTTTGCATTTGAAGTAAACAAAAAACAGAGAGGAAGGCCAGGAATTTCATATATGTACCGTTCATGCGCCACAACTTCACTTGACGGTCATCTGCACCAGAGACAATGAGAGGAAGGGTGGGGTGAAAAGCAGCCCAGTTGACTCCTCTGTCATGACCTTCCAGAACATACTTGACTATAACATCAATGCCCCCAAAAAGATCAGTATTCATCTGACTCAATCGTAGGATGTCATCAGCAGGAGATACAGTCTTCTTCCTAAGAGCCCCGATATCCCAAACACGGACCGTCTGGTCTAAGGACGCTGATACAACAAGGTCATCTTTAGGATGGAAAGAAGCACACATAACATAATGGTTGTGACCAGTCAAGACAGAAATACAAGTCCTCGACTGCCAGTTCCAGATGCGGATAGTCTGATCATCACTAGCACTCACAATCCATGGGTACTCATGGTGAAACTGGACCGTGCGTATATAATCAAGATGCCCAAGAAGTGTGAACAGGCACCTGTGAGTTTTGTAATTCCAAACCTTAATTTTGTAATCATCCCCTGCAACAGCCAACGATATCAATTTTAAAAATACACATAGAAAGACAATTCAGCAAATTGGAGCTGAGATGAAAGTAAGATGCAGTCAGTAATCTGCTCCAAAACGATTTCATGTGTGCAAGCATTTCCATTAGAATAGTCATCCGGAGAAATTAAACCACAGTTTTAGGCTTTGAAGCACCAATCTTTGAACCATGAAAAGCACCCTCCTGACGGAAAAGGTAAATAAACTTGTTTGTAACAGAAATAAAAGCTGGGTCCCCATATCCCGCAACCAATATATACATATAATTATATATATGGTTTATATACATATAAAAAGCACTATTAGGTGAACATAATGAAAAATGTACATTCCACAGCTTAAGACACCAAGCTTCAAGAAAAAATAAATTATTGAAAGAGTCCAAACAAAATTTCAAGCAAAAAATTTCTTTCAAAGAAATCGTATATTCAACATGGACCATTTCTGAAATGCATAGATATTAGCACTTAGTAAGTGCCACTTAAGTAAATCTACTAAGCCTAAGGCAGACATATCAAATAAATCATCAATTGCAAAGACAAACCTGGTAGATCTAGAAAACAAGCATGCCTATATCAACTTTCTAGTGCCAAGCTTTGAAGCAACAAGTCAGAATCTCTCAGATCAATGACGTATCATCAAGGAGAGGGCGAAATTTACTAGTGTACATAAAATTCCAGAAGAACTGAACTATCAGAAAGATTGTATACCTCCTGAAACGAACAAAGGCTGTGATTTGTGGAAATGAACACCGCGAACAGGTCCCTCATGCTCGTCAAACCTATCGATCAAAGTCCCCATACGGTAATCCCAAAGCTGGATCACACCGCTGTGCAAACTCGCAAGAATCCATGGCCTTTTGCTGTGAAAGCTGAGACCCTTAACTCTGTTGCTCTTTGTCTCGAACTTCGTCAGCATATTCCCTGATGACGAATCAGAAACACCCTACGCAGACCAAACCACAGAGAACGAATCATGAACCAAGCGCAAACGAATAGATCAAACAGCAAAATCGCCACGAGCAAAACCTAATCCACTCGAAATTCAGGATAGATCTGAGCACATCGAAGAAACGAGATTCAAAACCGAGATTTCCCAGGATATAGATAGAAAGAGACTCACCACAGATCAGATCAGATCAATTCACGTAGGAAGCAATTAAGCACACCGTCACGCCGATGACCAGCAGCATTACCAGACAAACGTGCTTATGCGTCCGTAGATAGCCCAAGAGAGAGAGAGAGAGACGGAAGAGTTTAAGATTCAGAAATAGATCGAGAAGAAGATGATGAAGAAAAAGGGATTCAGTCTCGTCGTAGATCTGAGTCCCTTACACACTTTGCTCAGGTCAGGTTGCTAGTTTTTGCAAATTTCAGTTACATAATTTTGAGAATGAAAAATGCCTAAATATTCAGCCTGCGGCAAGCTTAACCGGATCTGTTCACAAACCGGTTACCTAATTTATCCCCACAGTAACGATCGAAGATTGGTACATAAATAGTTAAATAAATAAATAATACAAGCTAAAACAATTATGGTACAGTGTAAACAAATACAATTATGGTTCGACGAAAATAAAATAATAGTATTGAGCCGGGAAAGCCTGACCGTGCCTGCTAACCAAACCAATCAATAACCATTGGTTTGGTAAACTGGAAGTACCAGATAAAATTTTCCCGGTTTGGGGTCTCATTGTGATTTTCCCTGAAGTAAATTCACAATCTCCTCAGCTCTCGACTCGATCCCTTTGAGATATTCCGTCAAGACTCGTTGCTGGTACGAGCCTCCTTCCTGGTAGAGAAGTAAATACAAGGAGTGAATGGTAAACAAGAAATTTTAACTTAACCAAATCCGGTTCGTACAGGAACCAATCCTTAACCAACCGATTCAGGCTGCGGTTTTCGGTTTTAGAGCAAGACAAACAAATGAAGAAGATTCGTACGTGGTTACTAGTTAAAACATATGTTTTTAAGGAACAAACCAAAGGTTTGGCCGGTTGATGTTGTTTAATTCTGCGGCGGTTAATCTGGCTTCAGACAGACGTGAGCTTAACTAACAAGGGTGTGTTTACTCACAGTTCGGATAAGTGTCCGCTCGATCCGTTTCTTGGTAACAGCCGATAGCTCCTCGGGTGTAATTTCTCCTTTTCCGACTGTCAGTCCATCCAGCAAAAGTCTATTCCACTGATCCTCAGGGGCTGAAAGACATGAGAAAACGTGTTCATTCTAGATTCTATTACGCATAGAGATGTCGTAAAAAAGGAACTTGATGTACCTTTGATCAGTGTCTCGAGGAACTGCTCCGCCTTCAGAATTTCATTCCCTGCGAGAATAATCAGAAGTTTCAATCAAAATTGCATGAGCAAAAGATAAAATTCATAAAATCCGAATAAAGAAGTTCCACCCCCATCAATAAAGATTTGGATTTTGGAGATAAAAAAGCAACTCATCCCTAAAGTACTAGAGCGAGGCTAAGTTGCAATTTGGCAATTTCATAGAAGAAAGAAATGAAACTTTATCCTTATTATTCATGAGAACAGAAACATAGTGAAACATTGAAGCCTTTTTCCAAACATGGGCTTGCATTCAGTAAACACGGTTTTATATTCTTGCAGGAAAAGTACCTTTCTTTGCATAGCTGCGCTTGGAGAGTATTTTGGCAGCATAGAGTTGCAGAACCTTTTGCAGCATAGCCTCAAGGCCCGGTTTGTCTTTATCTTCTTTTGCCTGAAAACAAACATCAGCCTCAAATTCTCCCGAACTTGTTGTGAATGCAGAATTTCGGCTTCAAATATCATGTTGCTAATGATGACATCAGAGACGCAGATTGAGCATACTTGTCGTAGCTGAGCATTTACTTCTGAAAGAAATCCCTCATCCAATAGTCCTTCCTTTTCTCGTTGGATTATTTCCTGTTCATGCAATGACAATGAAAACACCACAAGGCAGGACATATCAATAACCGACTTGACTGATCTTTAAAAACCAGTGTCCTAAAGTCAAGGCACCGCCAATCACCAAAGACTCATAACACTTCTATTGCATCTAATTCCATAAAGAACCCCAAGAAGAGGAAATGATTTTGACATTACGCAGAAGGTCGAGACAAAACTTTTTTCATGCAGCACATGTCATGGTCAATAGCAGGTGCGAACCAGCAAAACTAGCCCAGGAATACAGAGATTACAATGAATAAGGCTTCCGTATGAAAATGAACAAGAAGAGAACAAAAAATAACCTTTTCCATTTGTTTGATAGTTTCGGGATCTCTTGGAGGCCATGAGATTTCTTCCACTTCATCAACAACAGGTCTTAGAATCCCCTTAAGGACATCAGTGGCCGATTCTATCCGTTCCTACAGGTATACAATGAATTCTCAGATGTCTTGTAATAAAAGCATGGAAGAAGATGAAGATAGCAATGGTATTAAAACAGCATATATATATATATGTGCCAATCACAGAGGAAGAAAAAAAAGGAAGACACACCTTAGTCTTATGGACAACACAGTCAACTATACTCATCACATTTGTAGCGAGCTCCTCATAGTCCTTCTGCAAGAACAGTGCCAAAGTATTAGTAATAAACAACCTTAATAAACAAACCCTGTGATCAATGTAACAGAATCAAAACTGATGAAGAACCGTGCTTTGTCATCCTCTGATTTGCAAGTATCTGTCCTAACCGCAAGGCGCATCCAAAAGCCCTCGTCAAAAGCAAGGACATTTTGGACAACAAGCATCTCGAGCTGCACTTAGAACAGGTAGCAACAAGAAAGGTAGATACCACAAAGAAAAAATTATTTAGAGGAAACACAATAATGCACACCAAGACAGTAAACCATGGTATATCCCTCTTCTTTGAGTGTAAACAAGTACTCGTTGAAAGTTAAAGCTGGGAGCAAAAGCATGCGGAAATATACTTCTCTCGGGTTGGCATCCTTTAGAGCATCAATCATGCGATCTATTTCCACCGTCTTCTTAAACGCCCCCTCTGCATCTTGCTTGGCTGCACGGACGAAAGCTCCCCTGTTTTATTAGACCCAAAAAAAATGCCACTTCATTATGTTTATCTTCTTGCATTATACAGATAGCTGATTCTTTTCAATGTAAGCTTGAATTATAAACAAGAAGCTATATCAGACAGGGTCCGGATGTCAGAAAAATTTAGAACATGGTTGCAACTATACTGAAGGAGATCATGACATTATAAAAGCGAGAGCCTGTATAATCCGATGATAATGATAAAGAACAATGAAAGAATTTTGTGTTTGCGAGTAATCAGAGTCATGAAAAACCAAGACAGTTAAAGATGTGGGCGAAATTATTCTCAGGATCTAGCTATCCGTTTCAACTGATAAACTATGAGCACAGGGATTGCATTGCATAAGTTACTAAAGCAGCAAAACGAATCATATTATTCAGCAATCTCTCTAAATTCAAATCTGGAAATTGTTCGACTTCTACCTGCAGCAATTGGAAAAGTCTTCTGAAAAACTCTTCCCCGTGAAATCGAATAAAAAGGAAACAAACAATCACCTTCGCTTCAACTCCGCGCCAGAAACTGGAGACGGATGGAGACTCCGAAACATCAAAACCCTAGAAGTCCATCTCCAGAGCGACACGTTCTGATTCGAAAATCGAAGAGAAGAGCAAAAAGCTTTTAGTCATAGGAGGAGGAAGAGAGAAAAGGCAGAGAGTAATCAAATTCACCTGGTCGCGCAGATGAGGAGAAGCATCGCAACAAGAGAAGAAGCACTGAATAGAGGAGATTGCCGCCATTGAAGAGTACGGGCACGGAACAACCGCATAAACTGGGGAATTCTAACGACCGTTCAAACTCTCAAATACCAAATCCTTGAAAAAAAACAAAATGAGTTAAATTAGAAGGAATTGTACAGAATGGCTTACAAAATCGTCGACATCATTTTTTTTCCCGTGAAGACCTATTGTAGAGAAACTCCGTTCCGAGATGAATATTCTATTACCGGACCAAAGGATATCTGGATTTCAGTTGGGTTTTTTACCCAAATAACTCACTTGGTTCGTATCTATTTCACCTGTACAGCATCGAAAATATAACACATTTTTTTCCCTGTGAAAAGACGAAATTAACCTTAATAAATTACGATATTTATCCGTTCAAAAATAACTTCGTTATTACGACTTCGTAATTAAGTCTAAATATAGTTACAATTGATTCTAAAAAAGGTGGCAAAAAATCATCTGTCTTACTTTTAGTTATATATCAGTTATATGTTAGTCGTAATAAAGTCGCAAAAAATAAAACGAAAAGGGTATTTCAGACTTTTCCCACCGAAAAGTGGGTTAAAATTGAAAAAAAAAATTTTTTTTTTTTTTGTGGTGTACACTGAAAAAAAAAATTTGTTTCGAGTTATTTGGGTGATTTTCTCATTTCAGTTGCGGTAAAAACATACAAAAAGAGTTACTACCATGTAAATGTAAAGGAAGTCTGTAATGTCCGCTAAAAGCAAAAACCCAAAACAAATATGACGTAAAAACTACAAACGTTGGTAACGGGCGTAAAAGTAAAAAAAATGTTCAAACAACACCAAAAATAACCACAAGCTCTTCGTAGGTAATCCACAGCGGAGAGAAGCGTCGTCGAGAGTTTTTTCACTATAATGTCTGTTCCCTGAAGATAAAATCTTTGCGCACGACCAATCACCGGACTTGAGAAGGAGAGCATACCAAACCAGAAGCGTCAGCCCCGACGACTGCCAGATCACACACAGTACAGAGCTTCCCGTCCTGGCTTGGCACGAACCGAGCCGTGCAGTACGGACACGACACGTCCTTCTGTCCCCTGTAGATCGGCACATATGTGGCTCCACATACCACGAAAGGGTTTCTGAAATCGTAGTTCAACTGGGTCGCATCCGTCATGTTGCGTTCCGCCGCCTGCACGACTTGCCTCGCCATCTTGGCCTGGCTCTCCACTGTCGGGTTTGTCTCTAGTAACCTCCTCGCGAAAGTCGAAGCTGTAGCCAGGTTCTTGGCCTTGTAGGAGACACTCATTGCGCTGAGAAGGGCGAGCCTTAGGTGAGGGGTTTGTAGGTTGCAGTGTGTGAAATATGCCGCCAGCTCCTGTTGCCGTATTGGGTCATCTCTCATCTCCCTCCTCTTGAGTTCCATTTGCAGACCAAGAACGTATTCCTTAACGATAATGATAAGTTCCTTGACCTCATCAACTTCTCTCCTTGATTCGACTACTACGAGTGGGATGGTGTGGAGGATGGATAGGAAAACACGTAGAGCCTCGGTGAACTTTCCTGCAGTGGTAGATTTGTAACCGGCCTTGAGCTTCTCTTCAAGCTGAGAGAAACTGTAAACAAGGGCTGGTGGGCCACGGACATTGGGACTAGCAGACTCATTCCACCCACGCTCGATGGCAAGGGAAACCACTGGAGACGAAGAAAAGGCACGCAGATAGCTGTGGCTGCCCGAGAAAAGATCGAGAAACATGGATTTCAAGGGCATAAAATTCTTTATGCCGAGCTGTCTGTTCAGCAACCGCATTGCGGTATCAAAGCTCCCAGCTGCCGCATGCTCAGCGGCAAGAGATGATTTCTGGGTCCATATTTGACTTACGGGCATGCCTGGAGTCGGTGCCACAAAGACTGCACAACGTGCATTAGCAGATAACTTCGGTATTTCAAGCTCTGGTGGGAGTTCAAGGTCTTCAAGTTCCCATCCACCTTCCTCCTCGTTCTCTCCCTCAGCTTCTGCATCATCCATAATTGCCTCCACATCCCCATTCTGTAATCCGTCAACATCATCCACATCAAGCTCCTCGCCCCAATCTCCTTCACCGTCTTCTTCTTCATCAACAGCCCCTCTTCCAACGCTCTCTAGCCCTCCTTCAAATACTCCTTTCATGACTCTCAGAAGAGGCCAATCACCACCACCCATGACAGGGAGAGGTGGAATTAGAAGTGATGGAGTTTTATCCACGGGCAAAGAGGGAACGTTGTCTCCTAATTCAGCTGCCAGACGCTCAGCAATGTCATGCAAACCGTGAATGGAGGCAGTGATATAAGCAAGAGGCAAATGCCCAGCACCCTCCAGGATCTTAACACGCTCTCTCAAATCTCCAAGGTAGAGGGCATCGTGAAATTGGCCCATCAC